CATTTCTTAACCTGTCTGTGTTTAAAAAGGAAATGACTAAGTGACCTCACCTGCTGTGTGTGTGAGGCAGACGTGTGGCATCCTTGTTCTCTATGTATGTTTCTTAGCAGCTGGAGATCCTTCCAAAAAGCATTAAAAATGGTGGCTGAATGGGGGGTTGTGACTCAGCACTGCAACCCACTGACCTCTGAGAACTGCCCTGGGAAGCATTTCCACACCTGGTGTGAATTATGGTAAACACTGTTATGGAATCTGGACAAATTAAAGCTTTCAAAGCCTGGAGGCATGACATGGACGGTTTTTATCCTTCTTAGTTCTACACAGCTGGAGTGTTACAAAAATATGAGATGAACCTTAAAATCCAAAATGTTTGGTAATTGCAGCTTGTAGAGGCACCGCCTGTCTGTTGGAGTCTGGACTTAAAGCTTCATTAAGCCATCAGTGCTGTTGTTGATATGACTTTGGGCTCAGATCTGATGGGGGCAGGATGTAAATCAGGGATCACCGTGAGCTCTAATCCATAATAATGATAGAGATATGGTGCATGGATTTAAAATAATACAATCCCATTTAGAAAGGGACACCTCCCACAACCACATATTTTCACATCTAGGCTGCATATATGTTATGAAAGCACTGCTGAGACATTTTTCAGCCTCAGGCAAGAAAAAGAGCTTAGAGCCCCCATCTAATCTCCAGTTCTGGACCCCTGCCAAATCCTCATTTCTATTCCAATTTTCGCCACCCTTCCTCCAAGAACCACAGAGCAGTGTACAGGTTTTTTCCTCTCCTCTGTTTTAGCTTCACAACAACCCTTTGATGTAGGTTAGGCTGTGAGATAATGAGTGGCTAGTCCAAACCAGTAAACCTCATGGTTTACAGCTCAGCCACCACTCTACTAAGCTAGCTTCCTACTTCCCTGTAAATCAGCAGAAGAAGGAACCCTTCAAGGATTCCTGCTTTCCAAGCCAAATTGTATTACCAAGGTGGCATGTTAGCTGTTGAAATAAATGATTTCCTATGTGTGGGTTCCACATCACATTAATAATGTATAAGTGGGGGACCCACGAGGACTCATGGGGGGAATCTCATTTTCCTTCCTTCTCTCTCCCTCTTACATTTCCCCTTTGCCTCCCTGTGTCAGGGCCTGCAGCTTCTCCCCTTTCTTTTTCTCCCACACTCTTTTAATGTGCCCATCTTCAGCCTCCCCTGGCAGCTCCTACCCTTTCCTTGTCTCCCTTCCAGCCCCCACCTACCTTTTTCTGTTTCTCTCCCTGGCACCCTCTGCTTCCCCCCCCCCCACCATCCACCTTCTTCTGTTTCCTTCTCTCTGTTTTGCTTTCACTC